TTTTTACTACTACTTTTTTCCTCTGTAGTTCTCATGGCTGTGAGATTGCTCCTCTCACTTTGGCTCTCCTGCTTTGACAAGGATGGTGCTACTCCAGCTCCTACCTACTGGCTTCCTTTCCTCCACAAGGCTGACCAGCCTAAAGTGTGAAGCTATAGAAGAGACTCTTGTAGAGCTGCATTCCCTAGGATGGATCAAGCTTGAGTATTCTTGTGACATTCCTGATCACTTATACCAACTGCAAAATCAGTGACTTGAGCACCCTCCGCTGACAGAAAAGGACAGAATTTGTAGCTAAAAGCAATATCCAGTGGCCTTCAGGGGCCATTATCTGGCCAGCAGGCCCATTCTCAGCCTTGTAGTCAATATTTAGATACTGCACAGTTCAGCCACAGAACCACAGAATAATAGAATGGTTGGGGTTGGAAAACACCTTTAAGATCATCCAACCAACTAACCTAACACTGCCAGGTCCTTGACTAAACCATGTCCCTAAGTGCTACAGCTACATATCTTTTAAATTCCTCCAGGGGTGATGAATCAACCATTTCCAATAATCTGCTAACTGTCTGGTTTAAAAAAAAAAAATCATCGAACTCAGATGTGAGAAGAATTGCAAAACATTCATTAGCTATTAGACTGAGCACTGTGTAGCAAGCTATTTCGCTGGCACCTGAACGGTGTCTCTTTTTTTTGTTTGTTTTTGAAAGAGGAAGTTGCAGTTTGCTGGTGCCAGCAGAGATTTAACAAAATGACAGATCACTGGGACTTAACTCATTTAGTAATTTCATATGCAGGTGTCATTCTTGACTGTTCCTTTTACTTTTCTTCACGAAACCACAATGTTGTAAAGCAAGAGCCCACTTCGTTCCAGCAGCTGGCTTTCCTTTACAGGGAGTTAAACAAGGTCTGTAAAGGTAAAGTAAGGTCCTAAAAAATAATATAGAAATTATAAAAGTAGCCTGATTATTTTAATATAAGAGAGGGTTCCTGAGGTCTCTTTGTTGCTGCTCACAAAGAGTCAGCTTTACTGAGCAGTGCCTTCGTGCCCAGCTTTAACTTCCCTGAGACTGGCCTCCTGGTCTTTTCTCTACTATGAGAACCCCACATATTACAGAATAATTGAATATTTTTTAAGGATTGCTCAGCTCAGTCACTAACTAAACTCTTTTCTGTAAGTACAGCACTACCTACAGATATACATGTGTCTCATATATATACTTATATACTGCAAATGCTGACTTAGCATCTGAAACAGATCAACCCCTCCTGTCTGTTATTGTGGCTCTGTATCACAGCCCTCAGCAGCAGCCAATCCTGCCAAGCTCAGTTGCTGCAGAATTCCCTTCACTGAGCTTCAGCAGGTGACGCAGCACTGCCCTGATTGCAATTTCCATTCACAAAGTCATGTGCTCCTTAAGATCAGTCACCCACCCTCAGCAATCTAGAAGCAGTGGAGAGCTCCATGGGTCTCCATGTGTAGTTTTCAGAACATCAGTTAGCAGATGCAACTTCAGTGCTCAGAAGAGTGAATACAAAGAATCAAGACACAATAAGTTGAAACAACATGGCAAATACATGCATTTTGTTAGGAGTAAACTATGTTGGGCTGTGCAGAGCAGGGTATTCCAAAGTGTTATACAGAATCAGTTCAACAGAATGTAAATTAATTTCCTCTCTGAGCCATCCTCAAAAGCACATAGGTGTACCTGCTTTGCTGGTAAACACGTGGCTCATGCCAGAGACAGCAGTAGAAGAGCTTTCCCCAGTGCTCCATCTGCAGCAGTTGCAGTTTGCTCCTAAGAGTACCATGTGATAGCAACCAGAAAAATGAAATAATACTGCCAGGAGTTTTTGCTGCTTATCCCATGGGTACATTTCTTCTCTTACCCCACTCTCTAATGGTAAACCATGTGGGAGCAGAAATGTCCAGCACAGCCACTGGCTGCTAGTACCTTCTACCTTTCCAGTGGAAGTATTCCTACAGCATGACATACTTACAGAGAATGGAGAAGACAGCAGCTGCAGAAACTGGCTCATAGGCAAGATCAGAATTGTCTGAAATTGTGAATCACAGGACACAATGGGCAAAGGACATAAGAAATATGGAAATGCCAAAGCAAAGATAGATTAGATGAATTAGGCTCAAATTATTTGTATTTTTCTTATTGAAGGTAAATATAAGAAGGAAAAGATGACAGGACTTCTGTCTAAGTACACTTGTAAAGTGTCATGCATGATTATATTTCCATTAAAACATATAAAGCATAAAATAATAATATTAACACATGTATATGAGAAGACTGAAGTTTGAACACTGAAAGTTTGAACACTACAAGACTCATTTCCTTTTCCAGTCCTGATATCCTTTTCCAACTGAGAACAGTACTGGTGTCCAATGTTGGAGAACAAGTGGAAAGTTTGGATGTGCCTGGGCATGCAAAGAGGTTTTTTTATTAAGTGTATTTTCCAGGGTTTCAAAGGAAACACTGGAGAGGACAGTATCTGTAGAATTGAGGACAGAATCTGCAGAGAATTTGGAAAAGCTCAGACTTTAGTTGCTGCTCTTCTCCTTCTCTGGTGCTGCCGTTAATCTGCAAAAATTGAACCAAATTAATAAAAGTCAAATGGTAGCCTGTGGATTAATTTTGTACTCAAAGCAAGCTCATTTAGAAATAGGAGTAGACAGGAGGTGTAACTGGCCTCCTGCCTTATGCTAGATCTCTGCATTCCCTGTCTCAAAAGGCAGTAAGGACAAATGTGGCTTACCCATTTCCTGCCTGGTCAGGAACAAACTGGGTAAGTGCTTATGGAGCTAAACTCAGCTATCTGTAGAAGCCTTTTGTACCTCTCAAATACTCCTATATAAGAATTAATGGTGCTTCTGACATTTGTTTTCCCTTCTGAGGTTGCCTGGTTAGCATGGCCTTGATTATGTTACTCCCTGATATGAAGAGGACAACCTAATTAAATCAGCAGCAGGAAAGGATGGGGTGAGATTTCAGGAAACGTGAGTCAATAAGGGGCAAAATGCTTTTACAAATTCATTATTAAGGAGAATGTCTTCTATACGGTTCTTGGAAAAGAGTTTAGTGGGCCACTGAGGTTTTACACCAGTTTCAGGAATTTTAATGTCATCTCATTCACACACACTTGCTACTTCTTTGGCTCCTGAGAGGCTGCAGCAAGCTGCAGGTGCCAGTTTGAAAACCAGTTTACACATGGTGCTGTAAACTTTGGTGGCTGACATGTGAAGCTAAGCTATCTCTGCTAAGAGGTGGAACATCTTGGAAACCAGCAAGGAAAAAACTGAGGGCATGAGCCACTTCAGCTGTTCTTAGTGAGTGCTTATATTGCTGAATCATCAGCATCCAATGGCTATTTGTGCCATCAGCTTTTCAGAAGTGGCGTTTTCTAGATAATGCAGTAAACTCAATCTGTGTAAAAATAGGCATGTGTCAAAGCTACTGGAGAAATTTAGCTAATTAATTAATGGAGATCCTGAAATTGGCCAGAACAAACTTTCTAACTCAATTTGAAGGATTAGAAAGCAAGCATTCTTTATCTGCACAGGACACACAGAGGATCAAACTCTTCTCATTCTGTGTATGAGGTGAGACTTTACAACAGGGGGTTTATCCATCATAATCATACATATTCATTAAAAGGTGTTTCTTATCTAACACATAAATACCACTTTCCTAAAAATAATTTACACACATCCACCTCCTGCTGGAAGTCCTTTTATGGTCCTGGAGAGTAATAAAACGGGTCTCTGGTGGTCCTATTCACTGAATGCTTTGATATTAAAGTATGGTAATAAAATGGAAGTCTGTATTTTAAATACTACTGTGTGCCACCAGTCAAATCTGAAAAGTATGCTATGTCTGCAGCTCTGATTAGACAAATAATTCAGAATTTCTGTATTTGCAATGCAACAAATTAAGTGATCTTAATCCCTTTTAGATGTGAGGTGAGAGAAGGCCACTGAGGCAGTTGGCCTGGAGACCCTGTCCTGTGACAAGAGGGTTCAGCTGGGAAGAGAGATAACTTTGGCAACATCCAACAGCAGTCCTGGACAGGAGAGGGACAGAGGAAATGCAGCGTCAGGACTCATCACAGTGGTGCATGGCTGGAGAGTGAGAGGGAGTAGCACAGCTGAAGCAGTGGAAATTCAGAGCATTCACAAGGAAGAAACACCTTCCGCACAAAAACAGCCCAGGACTGGAGCCAGGCCCAGCCAGCCTAACCAGCCTTGGAGGTTATCAAACCCCAGCTGAGCAACCTGGTCCAAGCTCAAAGCTGGCTCTGCTTTGGACAGAGTTTGGACTGGATGTCTCTTGTGGTCCAGTCCTGAGTTGTTCTGTAAACTGATGAACTACAGCCCTTGGAGCATCTCAGCAGCTGCTGGACCATTCTTAGCTAAAAGTGCCAGGGTACCCTGCCATGGTCCTCTGAAGGTCAGGTTTAGTGGAAGGGAAGGACAGACAGGCAAGCTGTGGTAACACGGGAACTCTGGCGCAGTGGGAGCCCCTTCATCCTCTGCAGATGTGTTCGAGTGGGAATCTTCCTGTTGTGCACAAACACCTGACAGGGAGCACGTCAGCCAGAGCCAAGCTCTTCGAGTGGTACCCAGTGATGGTAAAACAACGACGGGGGCGATGCACTGCGTACAAGCTGAAACGCGGGAAAAAACACTTAAACGTACGAAAGCACAATTCCCTGCGCGTAGGGTGAAACTCTTCCGCAGGCTGCGCGGAGAGGAGGCGGCAACCCCCACTCTGGAGGGCACTCCAGCCTCAGCCACTCTGGCCCCGGGCCACCGTCGGGGGCCAACCCCGCTCGGCGACAGGAGTGGGACGGGCCGCCCACCCGCGCTGTCCGCGGTCCCTCCCCGTCCCTGCCCCGCCTGCCCGGCCGCTGCCCTGCCCGCGCCCCGCCGGGGTGCCGAGGGCCGCTCTCCGTGCCGCACTCCGCGCCCCGGGCCGCCCGCGCGGAAGATGCTGCGGCTCTGCCTGCTCGCCGCGCTCGGTAAGCGGCAGCGGCAGCGGCGGCGCCTCCCGCCCGCCCGCCCGGGGCGCGCCCGGCGCTGCTCGGGGGCGGCGGCGGCCCCCGGGCCGGGCGCGCCGTGACCGCGGCTCGTTTTGTCCTTGCAGCTCTACGGCTGGCCGCGGCGGCCTTGCTTTCGCCCGGGTCGTGCACCTTCGAGGACAGCGCCTGCGGCTACCAGTGGGACTACGCGCATCTGCCCTGGACGCTGCACGGCGAAGGTGAGAGCGCTGCCGCTCCCGGGCACAGCTCCCCCGCTCACCCTCCCGCCCGGCGCTGCCCGAGCCCGCGGCGGGGCGGCCGCATCCCGCGGTGCCGCTGCTGCCGGCGGGGCCGCCCGGTGTTCCGCGGGGAGCAGCCACCGTCGGGTTCCTCCCGCCGGGTGTGCTCCCCCCTGACAACAGACAGACCCTGCGGGGAAGCGTCTGCACTCCCCCGGCACAGGTATCTCCGCAGGTTTCTGCAGGATGCCTCAGAAGTCTCCTTTCTTTCTCTGTCTTTCACGTTTTGCTGGGAAAAGGTGTCTTTTATCAAGACCTCTTTCTAAAAAGACCAGTTACATCGGTCCCATTCCTTATGCATTATTTTCCTTATGCGTTCCTTATGCATTATTTTCTTTCTTAATGTATTTTGGGTTCTACTCCAAAAGTGGATGCATTTCCAGGGCAAGAGACAGTCTTTGGCAAGAGTATCTTTGTGACATGTTCAATTAAGACTTTGCTTTATAGTATGTCCAGTTCAACAGAAAAAGTGAAGTCTTTCAGTAAGTTGTACTAGGCTTTACAAGACTAAATGCTGTTGAAAAGAATAATCAGTCACTGCACAGTGTCCATGCAGCTCTGACTACTTGGTAAGTTTTCAGTGTGGGCTCCCGTTTTTGACTGAATCTACATGAACAAAAGACTAAACAAAAATATACAGAGCATGGTTGTAACTGGGTAATCAAATAATTTAGTTTTGATTATGTGTTCACCAAATTGTTCATGAAGTGAAAGCTGTGTTCACACAGAAAGAGAGACTATGTGTTTTTAAAGTTTTTAAGCCCAAAAACACGTGCCAAGAATAATGAAGAAGTGAGTACAGATACAAAGAGATAGACAGCTTCTCAGAAACCATTAATCAGTGCTCCATTCAAAACTGGCTGGTCCAGTTTTGTATTCCACTTGTCTCTCAGTTGAGAAAAACTATTTTTTCCCCTGATTCATACCCAGTTCTCACCTATGCAAAATAAGTCACCTTCATTGTTACTTTTTAGATTACTCAGTAGGCTTTGAGAATGTACAAAAAACCCTAACTCAGAAAAGCCTGCAAGGATGTAATAATTGAAATATGTGCTTTTTCTCTTATTTGATATATATTTCTTAGTTTATTTATTTATTTAAATATACATTAATTTTCCTGTATTTTTGAAATTTCCTGTATTAGTAGAAATTTAGTTACCATCTTTGCTGTCCCAGCTATGCCTCCCAACACCATGCCCTCCTAGTCTATCTGTCTGCAAAGCAGCACTTACTTCCTCCTTGTGATTTACAGGCAGCCACATCATAGTGGTATTGATTCAGCTCCAAGGGACTGGGAGCTGCTGGGAGCAAAACCTGCAGAAGTGGATGTGTATCATGTTGTGCACATCCACACTACAGTGTTTCAGGATAGAAGGACCTTTGACCAGGGGTTTGGGTCAGCAGCAGCCTGCTTTTTTTGGTGCACAGAACACAATTTTTGTTACTGTAGTTTGATCTTTCTTTACAGACAAATAGACCAGCAGCTGCATGGCTTCTGTTATTGCACATCTCATTTTCAGAGATACATAACTGAACTGTTGTACTCTGGGAGGATATGTGGTATACCAGCTCTCGTAATAGGCATAGTTCTGTCAGGATTTCCATTATAAACAGTTTTTCTGCAGTCTGTAATTTGATCCTAGCAAGACATTCTGTGCAAACATTTGGCACACAAGGTATTCTGTTGGTCTCCTCAGAAATACATTCATAGAATCACAGCTAAATCTAGCTGAAAATAATCCATTCTAATCTACACAGCAGGTGTGCAAAACTAATCTTCCTTAGACGCTCTTTCATTCTTTTGTCTTATAAAACCATGCCCCTTTTGGCAGCTCTGTGTCCTTTTATTTGCTGGTCAGTGTATGTGCCTGTGGTGATTTACTGGGACAACAGAGGAGGTTAAGAACGGGAGACACAGCTTAGCTTTGAATTGTTCAGTTTCTCCTTGCATTGCTTCAAAGTTGCTTTATTATTTTAAAATGTTATTTTTGCAATAGAATTGCATTCAGTGGGTCTTTAACAGGGATTATGTGACTTGCAGTGCAAGTTCTTGCATCTTATAAATGTCTCAATAGTGTAGTCTTGTGCCAAACTGTCAAGGTGATGTAAATATAACTAAAACCATGCCCAGAAATTTCCACTCCATACTTGAAAGTATTTTGCCCAGTTGCCAGGGAAGCCAGTATCTTCTGATGGGCCAGGCACACAGAAAGGAAGTATAAGTTTTGCTTTTGTTTGCAGCTACATAGTCCCACTTAAGTGAATGTATTTCTAAGGTTCAGCTGCTGTTTTAAATGTTTCTGGTTTCTCTTCAGTGTTCTGGTAGTTCCAGTATACAATAATTTTTTTTGTTTAATTTTAGAATTTTCATAATTGAAAAAAAATTAATTTTTAAAGTTTTGATACCTGTAACTGGCATTTTAGGGCCTATTTTAATCAAGTGCAAATCAAAAGAAAATACTCAGTGCTACAAAGGATAGCTGTTTCACTGCTAAGTGCTTTACTCAAGACTGGCAAACCAGGCCCTGGTGAAGTGGCTGTTTGTAGGGACAGCTATAAAGGAAACAATTCAGGCATCTGTCCAGTCGAACTGTGCTCCCATAAAACCTCTGCTTCAGTGAACCCCTCTGTAAGCCTCAAGCTCTCTCACATGACTGAATTCAGGAATAGGACCTGCAAGCATATCAAGGTGCTTTTTTTAACTGTCAGCTTTTTCAGTGACTGGCTAGCTCAGTGTTTGCCTTTTAGAACTATGATGATTTTAACAGACAAACACCATGCAAGGGAAAATGTAACATACAGAAAAAGCTGGATATAAAGTGGATATAAATTTCTAGTGAGCCTTGGGGTGGTTTGGGAAGCACACCCAACTGAGGTCATGGCCCAGGCTGGTTAAGTACAGCATCAGGCTTGAGGCAGTGTGTTCCCTAAGGAGCCAGTTCTGTTTTCAGTGTAGCATGGGAAATTCCATGCAACATGTTCTGCTGTTCTGCTTCGGGTGTTTGTAGGATACCAACTACACAAGAAACATTGAAAAATTGTTGCTCAGGAAGAGATCATCATTATGTCATCCTGCTTCTGAAATGAGCAACAGATCAATTTGTATGTTACCAGTGATAAGATCTGAAAGCCTTGTGAGGTTCTGCTATGCATAAACAGAGGGGACAATGGTCCATTTTCATTTTGTGGTGTAGGCATGCCCGCAGAAATGTTACTGCATTCATGATGCCTTTGAACAGATAATTTTACTTTAAGTTCAGAATACAAGACAAAGATTAAACTCTTGGACTCAACCAATGGATAGGAAATTTAGGAATCTATATTCATCACTATTGCAGTAGTTAGAGATAGTTGAGAAGCTTGAACACCATGCTGGTTCTACTAACACCTGCAGGTGTATGGAGTATGAGTTCATATCCAGTTATTTTGGGGCATAGAGCTTTGCAGATGCAAACTGGCTAATTTTCAAAAGAATTCACTTTTTTGTCAGGAGCATATGTGTTTGCAAGAGAAATACCAGTTAATTCTAATACATGCTGTCAAACTGCATAGGGTAAGATTCATCAAAAAATATTGAGATTTTCTTTAACCAAATTGAGCAAGTACTTTAGATGACAGACATGCTGTGGAAATCCAAAATGGTCTTTGAAACAAAGGAAGATGTTGTGTGTAATAGGCAGTAATCCTCAGCAGAGTAATTAATAAAACCATGCAGACCCACTTGAAACAGCAGTAGGAAATACAGCCTTGGTTCAATTGTAGGCATTCTAAAGTGTTAGGTTTGGGCATTTTTTGCCAAACCTTATGCTTAGCCATGGCCAGCACAGAGCTGGCCATAACCTGATGGTAAGAACATCCTGCTCACAAACATTATTAGAGATAAATTTCATTAAACACAATAACAGTGGCATGTCTTTTCTGTGACTCTGGGCAATATTTACATTTTTGCTTAGAATATCTGTACAGCACTTTGTGTGAACTGTGGGTATGTTTTATTTTCAATTGCCCTTCACTCTAACAGAGCCTGGTTTAATACTGCTAAAAATAATGTGGATTTTGGCTTTGAGCTTAACTCTGCTCTAATGGAGTTTGCTATGCTGCATCTGCTTGCCTGGATTTAAGCACTAGATAAGAAACTTGTCTATTATGACAGCAACCTATAAGGAAGAATGATTTTATATTGGCAATGTGCTCCAAAAAGCAAGAGATCATTGTTTCATGTTCCTAATGAGTTTTGTGGCACTGAAACACTAAAGCTGTCACTGGTAGTTGATACAGCTGAATGGACCTGGCTCTCATAGGACAATTGACAGCTTCAAATACCTATTTTGTGTGTGTTCCTTTTCTTCAGAAATTCTGGAAGTGTGTATTTCTTCATATCTCATGTCGCCAAGGCTACATTTTAATAGCCCACATTTCAGGGGTTTAATAATGTTTTTTCTTTCTGCAGTATTTTGAAGGAAAAGAGATAGATTTCACTCAGAAGAGTGATGTAATGGATTACATTACATACAAATATGGCCATTTTTTCTTATACTTAAAGCATATGCCTATTTTTGCCTCATTATTCCAAGATGCTGCTTCTGTGGTGCACTCCAAACAGTGCACCAGGTAACAATTTATAGAAAGCAAGCAACATCAATAACAGTAGCTTCAGGAAACTGAAGTTTGTCTTTTGTAACAGATTTATCACATAGCTACACTTAAAAATTTTTTGAAAATAATTTCAAGAGGCAGGACAGCTATTGCAGGCCATCAGATAAGTCAGGCGTGAGAGCAGCAGCATAAGGAATCTCAAATCTAAACATTGCCTGCATACCATTTAAATAGCTTGTATTTACAGCTGTGCCATATGACTTAAAATTGACCTCTTTTGATCTGAGCTCTCTGATCTTGAATGTCACATCATGTGGTTGTAATATGCAGAGTAATGAAGCAGG